AAGTTTTCCGGGGGTATACTTCTCGAAGAATTCTTTCTGAGAGGTAGCATGGAACGACGCTCCTGAATCTAACACCCAAGATTCCTCCTTGCTCTCCAAAGAGCATATCAATGCGTCGTCTCCTCCTGAAGTGGAAGTGACATTCATCTCTGCCTTCGCCTCCTTCTCTTTCTGTGCACTCTTGCACTGATTCTTGTAATGCCCGGTCTTTCCACAATTCCAACACTCGATAGCCTTCGAGCTGTTTCTTGGATTCCTTGACTTGGACCTCCTGTCCTTTGATCTACCTCTGAAATTTGATTTTCCTCGTCCGTTTCCTCTGGTTGAATTTCTACCTCTTGATTCTGTATGCAATACTGAAGAGGTTGTAGCTTTACCAGTCTCTCGCCGTCGGATCTCCTCACTGAGAACCAAATCACGAACGTCGCCGAACTTCAACTTTTTCTTTCCCGATGAGCTACTCACTACCGTGACTGTAGCGTTCCAACTCTCTGGTAGGGAAGACAAAAGTATCAACGCCCGAACTTCTTCATCAAACTCAATCTCAACTGAACTCAATTGGGTTGTAACCGTATTAAGTTCATTGAGGTGTTGTGCTACTGACGCGCCTTCCGCCATTTTCAGATTGAATAACCGCCGCATCAAATGAACTTTGTTCGCGGCTGATGGCTTCTCATACATGTTTGAGAGTGCTGCCATAAGACCTGCCGTGGTCTTCTCCTTCGCTATGTTGAACGCAACATTACGAGTCAACATCAATCTGATAACTCCGAGGGCTTGTCTATCTAGAAGGTTCCACTCTTCTTCCTTCATAGAATTTGGCTTCTTCCCCGATAGTGGTTGATACAGATTTTTCTGATACAGATAATCCTCTATCTGTATTTTTCAGAATCCAAAATCTGTTCCATCAAATTTCTCAAGTCTTATTTTTCCTTCATCTGCAGCCATGACTCCCACTTGAATCTGACTTCCTCTAGATCGTTTCGCGCTCTGATACCAGTTGTTGGGAATTTAACGCCGAAACCCCTAATGCAACAGAAACGTAGTATAGAAAAGGTACACCAAGATTTACGAGGGTCGACAACTGCCTACGTCCTCAGGAGCCACACTGTAAATTTCTTATTAATCAAACAAGAAATTACAATTTAGGAGCAGATCTCAAAACTGAGATTTCTCAAATAAACACTGTAGCTACAGTGTTAATAGTCAAAGGGTATGAACCCTTTCAATTTCTCTCACTTGAGAATAAATAACCCCACAATTAAAACCCCTCTTTAATTCCCTCTCTCTCTTCTTAAATCCCCTCAACCTGCACTGTTGAATGCTGGGATTTAATCACAAAATCGCAGCTGCGATTTGGGGGTTTTCCGCCGCCGCCAGGGAAGAACAAACGGAGAAGGGGGAAGGCTCTGCACCGAAACCCTAGCTTGATGGGGGGGGGGGTTTAAATAGGCGATGGGGGAGGGCTGGCGACAGCCTGTCGCCAACATCCGCTTCGACGCCAAGTTCGAGCCGAACGCAGAGGTCGAACAAACGCAGAGATGAGCGAACGCAGAGTTCTGGGGGGCGAACGCAGAGCTATCCGGAGATTCGAACGCAGAGCAAAAGCTCGCCTGCGCTGCCGTCGAATCTCACCTGGGCTACGCCTCCAGCTCCGCCCGCGACGACATCGATCTCGTCGGAGCTCCTCGCCGGCGCTCCTCATCAGAAATGAGGTTTGATCTTCGCCCTCATTCTAACAATAAATGCATCACGTGCAATGCGCGTGTGATATACTAATTATTCTTAAACTTTTTAATACGCTTAGATTCTCTTGTATCCAATCCACTGGCGATTGTCACGTCAATATGTTACAGAAATTCCTGATATAACACTGTATTCTAGACTTGTAGCAGGTTGAGTATAAATCCTCAAATAGTGAAGATATAATTCCATTTGAACATCAAGAAATCTAAATATTAGTTTAAAAAAAATAAAAAATAATGAGATACTAATTCATGTTCATATTTTGAAGATGCGGACTCCTGGAAAAGCAGAAAACTTGAAACTATTGGCGACAAAAACATGCATCCTATATTCAATGGGATCCGGCTCCACAAGTGGACAGAGGAAACCAAAAATCAAACACCAAATGCATGCACTGTGGAAAAAGGATCAATTATATATTCTGTACTCTGAGATATGATGTAACTATACGGGTTATCTTAGAGTATGTGTATCTATACACCTGATCTTAAAAGTGCTAGTTGCACTTTTACAGATAACCCTAGGAGTAGCTTGTCATTTTGGCTCCAGTGTCACCCGTATAATTATAAGTAGATATCTCAAAGGTCATCCGTATAGATACGTAGACTTTAGAGATATTGTGTAATTACATCATACTTTAGATAACCGAATGTAATTAGTCCAAAAACAAAATGCCAAGAAGAGCATTATTGAGAGTTACAAATTTCAATGCTTATCCTCCTTTCGCGCATCACTGGCCCACAATAAAAATCAGCCCGACCAACGAAACAAGGCCACGCATCTCTCGCGTTCTATGTGAGTCATTGACCAACTCATACAAGCTCCAAAAAAGATATCCGAATGTGGGGGGTCCCACTTTAAGTAGGATTTGACAGATGGACCCCAACTCACGTGACAGGGCCCACAATTTCCAATTTCCGACTTAATTATATAATGATGATGCAGGCCGAGCCCGTTACTCAACAACGACCCGATCGTCTAGTGAAAGAACGATGGCCTGTGCTAACTTGGCTTTTCAATTTTCTTCATGCATCAATCGAAGCAATATCTGTACGTTCGGCAAAGCGAGGGCTCTGAGCTCTGGGCTTCAAGTTGGGCCGAAGAAGGGTGAGGTCTGGGCCTTCTCGTCGCCGATAGGAAGCCGACGACCGGGGATCGACGAAAACCCGGAAGCTATAATCTCCGGCGAATGGCAGGAGAACTTCTCGTTCTTGAGCTTTGATGATCTCCGGGCTTATCTTGAAGCCCATACTGACGATGAAAGCACCGAGGTCTTCTTTCTTAAGTCGTTTTATGAGTAAATTTAAAACTACCTTCTCATGGGTTTTTTTACAAAACATCACCAATATTGATGCACATGATGCGTACGAGTAATCCCGATTTCAATTCCCCCCTAAACTTTTACAATTTGCATATATAGTCTCATCTATAGTAATTGCAATAATTTTGAGAACATAATAGTGTTGGGCTTCTAAGCTTCTTACAAAACCTCCCTAAAATAGTTTGGATATGTTTCTCCGATGACAGAATGGACCATCGTCCATGATGTTAGGAGAGGTGATGTCGACGTCGGTTCTGACCGCAACAGCCGAGCAAACCTTGGAAGACGTCGGCGACGACCTCGAGCTCGTCTCAGTCATGCCGGTGGTTGATGGCGAGCTTAGGTGCACAGGCGTGATCTCAAAGAGCGATAGAGCCAAAGCCTCGCATGAGGTTGGTTCTTTTACTTTTTATCTATTTATGAGAGCGAATGCAATAAAAAAAAAAAACTCACCGCATACTTGAGATTTTTTTCGGACTAATATTGTTTTAAAGTTGTCGCCGAGCAGTTGAAATCAACGGTTGGTGAGGTCATGACATCTCCCGCAATCACACTGCCTTTCAACAAAACGGTGAAAGGTGATCGATAAAACTGAGGATTGGAATTGGAATTGATTAATAAACCCATGATTATTTTTTGGTGTTTTTTTTTTAAAATGATAGATGGATCTCGTGTTTGTGTATCTTGTTGCAGATGCTGCGACTTTGATGCTCAAGATGAAGATCAGCATGATACCAATCCTTAACAAGAGAAGCCAAGTCATTGGTTAGTTAGAATATATCCAATCACCTTAAATTTGCAGGGAAAAAAAATGTAATGATCATACTAAGAGTCAGTAATTTTTTGTTACAGGCATCGTCACTGGCGATGAGATATCTCAAGCGCTAGAAGCAATGGAGACAGCATGATGCTTGAAGAAAATCTTGATCAATCACAGATAGTATTGTACACAAATAAATGAATTATTGAAGGCTGAATGTGATAGATGTTGATAGTAGAGAGTGTTGTGTATAATGAGCTGTGTATTTTGTTGTTTTCTTCAATGAAACCCAGTCGACATGTCTTTTATCCACTTCTAACTGAAAGCTGAAAATAACGCAAACTCGTCCCCTTCTTATATTTTAATTCCTTTCGTATTCCTCAAGACTGCAAATCATAATTTTTCTACATTCATCCGATTTGTACTAAAAGAACAAAAAATAGTAATATCATGATCACAAAAACATCAACATGAATTTGACCCACCTGAACTGAATTCACATGATGAGTTTGTTCAGATAATCTTTGATGCAGACCACAGTAAAAAAGATTCAAAATGTATGTTATGATTGTAAAACTATGAGCTAAGATCTTGAAATCGGTCAAGAAAGAAATACTTTCTTATTTTCCGATTCAACTTCAGCCAATTCTAAAAAAAGCAATAGGCATTTCATCCGTAACTAAATGCTAAATCACATTGAAATATGTCCTGATACAAACTCTTGATGAATAGAAGAAGACGATATTTCTCTTTGAAACACTTTGTTTGTATATTTGCAGTGATGAGTATACTTTAGCGGGGGAAAAAAACAAAACAAAAGGCTGGATGTTTGTATTTCGGTCTATCACAGACGAGCTGTAGAGACTTCACCTTGCTGATCCCCTTCAGGAATACTGCTACCATTGCTTATCTGATTACTACCATCAATTGTTAGAACTTCTTTTGCTTCTAATGTAGGAATTACAGGAGGTCTAGTTCTTCGAGTAACTGTCATCTTCAAGCCCTCGGTTGTATGAATGGTTGCCCCCGTTGTCATCTCCACCTACAAAGAGTTCAATTTGTTTCATCATCAGGAATCTTGATAGTTTCTTTTCAATGTTAGATTAATGCTTGAGGCTTACAGGAGGAGCTCCAACGGCTATTTGGAAGTTGAATCGCCTAACTAGCATTGCTGTTGCTACTACAGTCTGCAGAAAAGTGGGGAAAGCCAGAGAGAACAAAATCATTTAGGACTGATTTGGCAAAGGATCGAGGGAGAGGGATTAAGAACAATGGTTAAGCTAGTTAACCAATTTGCCCATGAGATTCATACTTCAAAATTATGGTCAAAATAACTCGAACTTTAAATTATCCAACTTTTTAGCAAAATAGCAACGCGACAAATTGAATAATCAAATTCAAGTGCAAAATCACCAGTGTAAACTGCCTCTTAAGAGTATCATGTTACCTCAAAGGTAGCAAACATGTCTCCAACGCATTTTCGTGGCCCACCACCAAATGGTAAATAGCTGAAGAGATTTCAAGATTATGATAGAATATCAAGTTATAGTGAATGTAGAGCGCCGCAATGTGTTGAAATATGATGGCTAAGTTAACAGAATGAAAAGGAAACAGATGGTGAAATTTCATAGCCAGTAACTCAACCTGAAATTTTGATTTGTTTCATTTGGATTTGGTCCATCAAGTGGCCATCTTTCAGGATTGAATTTCTCAGCATCAACCCAATGCTTAGGAGAACGATGAAGGTTCCACACAGAAATGAAAATATCTTCACCCCTATGGTATAATTTTAACAATTTCATCACCATAATCAAAAACAACTCTCTTCTAAATAATGAAAGGACAAAAAGCAGTGTAATATACGACACAATTATATGTAAAGGTAAAGTACCCATTACCTTGTTATGGGGTATTTTCCAAGAACATCGTTCTCTTGAGAACGACGAATCAAGACTGGTGGTTGTGGATAAAGTCTCAGTGACTGGAAATAAGGTAGCAGAAAGGATTAGTCTAGCTGGTCCATTTATAACCGTGATGTTCTTTGCTTGAATAATCAATTACTAAAAATAAATAAAATGAGGACCAGGAACAATTCTCACTTCATTAATCACTCGAGTAGTGTACTTTAGTTTTTTCATGTCTTCAATAGTAGGAAAACGATCCCCTAACACGGTGTCAACCTAACCAATAAACGAAATAAGCACCATAAAAGATTTAATCAGCATGCCAGGATCGTATTGTGCTGGCCACCTGGTTATATACGAAATGATTGGAGCACAAAATTATTTAAGTACAAACCTCCTCTTGAAGCTTCGCCATAACCCTTGGGTTCTGGAAAATTTATACATATAAAGAGAAAACCATTAAATACAATAAATACTAAGAGCAATGTAATAATCTTGCTGAGAGAACAGGAAAAATGTTGAAGTATTAACGTTACTTTTTTAACATCCATTTCCGTGAAATAGAACAAAATAGCATCTAAGCTTCAGCTTAATGAGGAATTGCTAGGCTAGAAATTACCTGACTAAGAAGATAAAAGGTCCATGTTAGCACTGCTGCAGAAGTTTCATGGCCAGCTATTAGCATTGTCATCAAATCGTCACGGAGTTGCTTGCTAGAAACCTACTCGAGCAAGAAATAAAAAAAAATCTAAGCATGGCTAAACTGTAAAACAGGTTAAATGAAGAGTGGCTATAGATGGGTGATACATCATCTCCCGATGCCAATAAGAAATGTAGAATGCTAGGATCTTGCTCGTTCATGTACTCTTCGTGAAATTGCAACTCCTCTTGCTCTACCATTCTCTGATGATGAGAAAAAAAATAACTTATGGCCTGTAGAAATTACATCAGAATACTGCAAAATATAAATGCATTCAACTACCAAAAATGTATATTCTGACGATAAGGATGCTTACTACCAGAATACACATCACTCATGACCAGAGACCAGAATACAAGTCACTCACCAGAGAACTTCATGAATGCAGGACAATATGAAAGCATAAAAATATAAACGTTATTTTCTAAACCCTACATATCATATTTCATTCCTAAGAAGTTATCAACTGCTGATAGCATGAGCCTGTTGAAGGAAGTTGAAGCTTCGTATGCATTATTAAAGTGGTTCTTTACCCCTGTGTGCTGCCTCTAACGAAGTTCAAAAGCTAACAGCATTTCCATATTTTGCAAAAGAAGTCCCATGAGAGAAGGAGTGCTAAAGATTAAAGAATTTTGATATACATAGTTAGTTCACAATCAAATATCTCAAACTTTTAAGAAAAGTGAAAACTAATGTAACATTGTTTTCTCGTGGAGATGTAGTTGCCATAGTTTGCTATAATTAATTATGTTCTCAACAGTACTCATGCCATAACACGTAACTTGTGCTTGGCATTTTATAGTCGTCAGTGGCGGAGCCAAGAATTTTTCTTCGGGGGGCAAAATGCAACCATCATACTATGCATCAATTAGAAAAGCTTTCCAATATAAAAATACATAATAAATTTTCATATATCTAAATATATGAAAGAAGAACATGAAATAGAAGTTTTACAATTAATATGCTATAAATTATCCTGTTAAAATTTATTTCAAATCAAACAATATATAAAAGAAAGAAAGCTTTTGTTTCAAAAGGGCTAGAGTCTTTTCTCTACTGGTTGAGGGTTTGTTCTAATTGAAATGGTTTTTTTTTAATATTAAGGCCATTACACATTTTGAAGTAACAATGTCAAGGGAGTTTTTGAGAAAAGTGTAAAGATCGGAGAGGTTTTGTGAGACATCCCATAGTGAAAGAGGGGGATGAGACATCATATAGTATGTTGTTGTAGGGTCGAAAAATTACAGTTGATTGATTTCTTGTTTTAAGAATGGGTTCAATCACTTAGTACGAATCCCTTACAATCACTCTCTCTCAATTACAGAGGAAGAGAAGATTAATTTGACTTCTCTTTTGTTTAAAAGTGGGTTCTTGGTGGCGAAAGAATATCTCACTTGATGCTTGAGTCGAACTTGCTTCCCGTTGACGATCAGATCAAGATCGCTTCAACTCGAGAAGAGAACCAGACTTTGTTGATAGCTTAGATTGTTAGAACCGAGGTTCGGATCTCAATCTTGAATGCCAAAGCTTTGCCCCTCGTGCTCTTCGTCTGCCCCCTCCTTTTATAGCTACTCATAGCTATTTATAGGCCTTTAGTGCGTAACTGATGCGCTGAAATTGTGGAGTTGTAGCGTAACTGATGCGCTAAAATTGTGGAGTTGTGGCGTAACTGACTCCTTGGATTTAGCCCACATGACTGACTGGGTTTTCGGAGCCGTTACAACTGGATCTCTCGCGGACGACGAGCCTCGCTGCATGGCGAAGTTCATCTGATTGAACGAGCCTCAATATGCAACAATGTTCATTTTCTAAGGCAAACTTTGCAATATAACGAACTCTGTCTTCACTAACGCCGTCTGACGAGCTTCGTATTCACTAATGAACTTTGTCTTCAATAGCTGAGTCCAACTACGTAGCAAGTCTTGTGAATTTTCTTTTGACGAGCCTCATCTTCACTAATGAGCTTTACGTCTGGTGATGTGTTTCGAACCTCGTATCCAATGACGAGTTTCGAATCTCATTTCCAATAATGAGCTTCGAACCTCGTTTCCAATTATGAGCTTGAACCTTATCTTCAATGACGAGCTTCATCTTCTAGAGTAGCTTTGTCCACAGTGATGAACTTTGATGTCAAGCTTCGCGACGCAGCAAACCTCGTCTTTTGATGTCGAGCTTCGCTACGTGGTGAACCTCGTCTTTTGATGTTGAGCCTCGCTGCATGGCGAACCTCGTAGGCGAAGCTGTCAGGCGAGCTTTGTTGTGCGCGGCGGAAGTTCTCGAAGCGACACGAACAATAACTCGAGATAAATCACAACCAATAAGCAAATCACAAATACAACAAGAACAACGAGTTTAACGTGGTTCGGTAAGTTGCCTACGTCCACGGGACAGGAGGGGGAGTTCTTACTATTAGAAATCAAGAGAATACAAATAGAGTTACAAATCTCACCGATCAAACCCTAAAACAAAATTCTAGATCTCTCACAAATCTCTCACAATTGAATGCAACAATTCTTTCCAAAAAACTGCTCAAAATCATCCTTATTTTATCCTAACTAATCAGGATTAGAGTTATATATCAGCTCCAAAACGAACCGGGTTGAAAACCCAAAGCCCAGCCCAAATAGCCTGTGGTTGACCACGGCGATCGACCGCTCAAGTATCGCGGTCGACCGCTCAAGTATCGCGGTCGACCGCGCAAGTATCGTGGTCGACCACGGCGATCGATCGAACACTCCCGATAGAGAAATCAACTACAGGAAACTCACGGTAGACCGTGACGATCGACTAAAACAAACGACAGAGCCCAAAAATCCTACAGGGTCCACGCGGTCGATCGTGACGGTCGACCGCCTCCAGCTCCCAGCTCTTCCTGACCCTTGTACACGTTCGCGGTCGATCGCCGCTGACTCGCGGGCGACCGTCAGTCTGCTTGGCTGAATTTCTGGGTTGTTTTCTTCAGTTGTTTGCCAATTCTTCAAGCTTCAATCAGTTCAGGCGAGCTAAGTTATCAGGCGAACTTAGCATTACAGGTGAACTTCAATGTTCAGACGAAGTCCAGTCTTACAGGCGGACTTCAGAACATGGATTTGAGAGATATTAGCGTTTTTGTCAGTTTTGAGCTTCTTTGCTAGGAATTAAGATAATTTTTATTGCCTACAAAACCCCCTCTAAAATTTTCAGACCCAAATCAGGTTGTATGAGGTCTGAAATATTTTGAATATTAAGACCTGCAAAATGAGCACTATTCATATAAAATGAGAAGCCTTCTAGCGAACTTGTCCATTCTGGTAAAGTTGAACTCTTCAGACGCAGCTATTGATCGCCATCTAGAATTTTTAGCAAACCTTCAGCTATCAACGGACTTGACGTGTCTTTACCAATTGCCGTTTGAGTTAGACTAGTCATGCTTTTGTCCTTAGTATGGTAAGTTATCGAGAAGTTTCTCTTAGGCTTAATGCTAAGATTTCTCCTCTATCCTCAGCCATTCAAGACGTTGGATTAAGTGTTCGAGCATGATTACAACAGTTAAGTTATAATCGAGTTTGGTTGTGCCGTTTGTTATAACTCAGTCTGGTGTTTTGAAAGCGAAACTCATTGCATGGTAGGCCTGCTAGGGTGTGGTGATGTCGTTGATAAATAGTGACTCATCGCATGGTAGGTCACTATTTAGGAATAAGGGGTAGATAAGAGGTTCATCGCTTGGTAGGCCACTATCAACAGGATATAAGATTCAAACTCTCATCGTCACAAAGAAAGAACCCAGTTTTAAACAAAGGGAGGGTTTCATCCTTCCCTTTTTTATAAATCGGGGAACCGATAAAGAAAACTATAGTTTCTTTTTCTAAGTCAGTTAGAGAAAAATTATATTGAGAGGATTATAATCATTCTTTTTCTAAGTCAGTTAGAGAGAATAATACAAATTTAATTCTCGAATTTCTCGTAATTTCCCGCGCTAACAACGTTATTTGTAAGAATCACGGTGTGGAGGTAATCAAGTCGTTCAGTAACGTGAACGTATAACGACTGTGATTAAAATAACGGCACATCACATGATAGACCACTATTTACGATCATTCTAAGGAGATAGAACGTTCGGAAAAGACCAGATAGTAAACCATCACATGGTAAATCACTATCTTGATCGAGTGACAAGTAGGTGTTCATTGCATGGTAGGATACTACTTGGCGAGGGAAATCAAATCGTTCAGTGATATAAGAGTATAACGACTGTGATTGGAATAGTGACACATTGCGTGGTAGGTCACTATTTTCGATCATCCTATAGAGATAGAACGTTCGGAAAAGACCAGATAGTAAGGTAACGTTTTAAATATCGGTTATCGAGGATTTATCGGACAGTCAAAATCCTTATCGGATAGCGAAAATCAGGAATATATCGGGGATAAGTAGTATTTATCGGAGTGATATACTAGATGGTGTATATATATAATATAATAACAAAAAATATAATCTAACCATATTTAATGAAATATAAACATACTAAAATATAAATAATCATTTTTAGAATCACTAACCAATTGTAGAAGGCGAGTCGGGTTTAATAACTCACTAAATGCATACATACAAACATAACACATACATATAATAAAACATATAGATACATGCATAAACCATAACCTTAACAATTGTTAAGACATCAGTTACAACTTATTTCTTCCCTTCATAACTATGTACTAAATGTTATCAAATAAATACTCCTCTAATTATTTGTGACTGATGTGCGTTTATATTTTAAAAATTCACAAATATTTCACGCATAACTAATCTTCACTCCTTTATATCCGTTGTAAATTAATAACATTATCAAGGAGTGACGATCAGTTATGTGTGAAATTAATATTTATAAATACTCCTTTATATCCTTTATTAACTGATCGTCACTCAATATTCCTTTATATCCTTTATTATTAATTAACTGATCGTCACTCCTTTATAATTAATAACATTATAATTAATATTATTTGTGCGTTTATAAATATTAATCTATAACCATTGTAGATAAGATAGAATTGTTTTATCAAATATTATTTGTGTGTTTATAAATATTAATTTCACGCATAATTGATCGTCACTCCTTTATTAAATATTATTTGTGCGTTTAGAAGAGACATCAGTTACAAATAATATTTAATAAATGTTGTTTACACTTTTGTTTCTTCTATCTCATATAAATATAATC